TTTAGAAGTTATTGTTTTAATTAAGGCCTGGTTTTGTCCCTTAAATTCTTTCAATTTTGAACAATCTTTAGCTTTTTTTCACTCCTTCTTGTCTTACATTTATCATTGTATAGAAGAAGACACCAGCACCAATCTGGAATCCCAGACAAGGACAAAAGTGGTGTGCAAGTATGCTAACTTCTTAAGGAGTACAAGGCAAGTAAGATATGTAAGCGATACCCATATGGTATCGTCTTTATTTTAGTAGCTAAAGATCATAAAAGGAACAGATGTTTATTAATCATACCAGAAGAGTCTGGCAATATGTTCATAAGAATAGATAATTATATTTTTGAAAGAGATCTGTGAGTCAACAGTGATTTTATGTTCAGATTATTAAGGTAAGCATGAAATAAGGAGGACTGAATACAATTAGGAACTCAGGTTGTAATTAAAATACTGTCAGTCAGTATCCTTTAAACTCTAGTTTTGACTGGTAATGACGTTGAAAGCTCAGATCAATAGTAGGTAGCAAAAATTTTAACGGTATATTGTATAGTCAGTCTCTAAAGCATACTTAAGTAAAAGCATTCAAGTTAATATCATTAAAATAATTTGCAGGCCATTTTGCAAATACTACTAAAAATGTATGCTTTCCAAATCTTATTTGGAGCAATTTTTATATCTTTCAGTAACTGTTATTTAATTTGCTAAAACAAATAGCCAAAATTACACAAGTTGTATACAGTATCATCTCTTTGTTCCATAACAGCAAAATGACTGCCTAAATTCAAAACTGGCTTCTAGCTTTTCTGTTCTAGTATACTTTCTCTGGTTTTGCTACTGTTGTTTTTTAGAAATATATATTACACGCTGCTTTTCTATACTGAGATTGATTTTTAGTTCTTAGAAAAGAAAACTATAGTACTGTAATTCAAAACAACTGTGATAAGTGAGGTTTGTTCATCAAAAGGTTTAAGGGGTAGTGTTGCTTGTTATACTTTAAGAAACTCTTTGTAACTGTTGTTTTGTGAAACATCTTTTTTTCTTTGGGAAGGGAAAGGGAAAGTCAATTGTACTATTATGAAAAGTATGCTTTATTAAAGTAGGATAAATGCTTTTAGAGAAGGAAAAGGAAGGGGGGCTGGGTGGTTCGACTCCGTATCTTGTTGCAGAATGTTGTAAAGCTTATAACCATATAAGGAATGGAGGTGAGGGAGTGGTTAGCCTAATGAGAGAAACTTCTCGAAACTTCTCGAAGCTTCTCGATGATGAAACCCCAGCAACAAAAAGGAACCAATGGAAAGGAGCCACGTTAATACCTGGGCAAAAGAGATAACGGGATAGGCTGAAGCCAAAATATCTGGGCAAAAGGGAGAACAGGATTGGCTGAAGCCAAAATCGAGAGGTATAAGGGACAGCCTCCCAGGGGCCCGGTGTGCGTCTTGCGTGGAGCGGGGACTCCCCGGCGCACCCAGCGCTGTATTTTTTATCTGCTACCGCTTGCTCAATTCAATAAAATTTATGTTTTGAAACGAGAGTGGCTCACTCGTTTATGACAACAACCATGACTGAGTTTAGGAATTGATCATCTAAAATATTACCCGTTAACTGAAGTATTTTGTGACTCATTATTTCCAGTGTGCCCATGCTTTTTCTGAGCAAAGGAAGTGAGATGGCTTTGAAGTTTGGCAAATCATCAACATGTGTCACTAGTCAGCCTTCTGGTTCTCCAGAAAGAAAAGTTTTCCAGAATAATGTTATCAGAAATAATTTCTACTTTTAAGTTTATAATGTAAGTTTTTAAAAGCACCTGAAAGTCTCCAAAGTTAAGAGTAAGTTGGGAAGAAAATTCTGCGCATTGCTTAAATACAACACAATTTGATATTGGCAAACATATTTCCAATTTACTGCAAAAGTATCTATTTTATCGTCCGGTATAGGTTTGGAATAAAATGTTCATTTGCCTGAGGGAGTTAACACTGGAAAAGAGACATAAAGGAGGTCAAATTGTGACTCCAAATAAGCAAGAAAATTTAGCAAGATTATAATTGGCAATTCTTTGTCTATTATTTCTTTCATATTAAAGACATGTTTTATGAAACTAATTTCTTTTGCATTTTGCTCTGGTGATAATCATTTTCATGCATGAAGAAGTCTCAGAAGTATAAGGAAGTTTGCCAGCATATACAAAAATTGTAAAATGTCAATGTATTATTTTACATAAAAGCAGTGTTGTGGGGTTTTTTTTTCCCTCAAACAGTGTACACGAAGTTCTAGTATCCATTAAATAAAACATGAAAAAGAATATCACAGATCAGAGAGAGATGGGATTAGTGTCAGAACAGAGCATGTCTGAGTACTGGCTTCTATTTTGGTGTGATTGACTTAGTGTCTGACAGTAGAAGTAACAGATGGGAAAAACAAGTGGGCCAGAAAAAAGGAGAAAAAACACAAACACTACAAAACAATAACATCACTGCTATAACATGAATAGCAATCAGATTTATATCAATAAATCCAGAAAAATTTTAAAATACTAGGGGTTTATAATATCGTAAAAGATATTGGAT